GCCACACAGCCCGGAAGACCCACACCAGCCATAGTTGCCCATTGTTTTAGAGAATAGAGATCTGTGTCCATTCTTGAAAACCCCCCATCATCTGAGTGTTAGTATCTCTGAGAGCTGGTATACATGTATTGGATTTAACTCTCATAAGTTCCAATGAGTATTGGGAGGTAGAAGGTTGTTTTAGCTGGTGAACTAACTTTCCGGTTGCGGGATAATAGCTGTATCACCCTCTCAAACTGTATAAACTACTAAACTATTTTTGTTCATTTCATGTACTTGTATCTCCAGTGATTAAGTAGTTTACTTCTGAACTGATAAAATAAGACTATTCAAAGTGTTGACATAATTAAGGCACTTTGTAAATAGCCATGGGAGACATGCCTAAAATACATTTTTCTTGGCATTAAATTGCAATCATACCAAAGCCATTTTTCTTCTGTAAATACTACAAAATTTATCACCAAAGCTTTAATATTACCATCACTGGATTATACTTAAATTTAAGTCATTGAATTTGGGGTGTAAATTAATTTTCGATCGGGTTATCTGTTGCTAGTCAGAGAATAGCAGAGAATAGCAGTGGCAAGTATAATAGATATCCCTTTAATTATAAGGCTATTACTGGCCTCAGTCTTTGCTTAAATTCACAGAACAGCAGAGCTGTGCTATTTAAAGGCTCTGGAGATCGATGCCACATTTTCCGAGTCATCATACAGTCTTGAAGAAACCACAAACTACCAGCTCTGGGCCACATAATTGCTTCTCTGACTGTCACTCAGAGAATTGTCTTCATATATCCAGTGAACTGAAAACACCTACCAAATAGTTTTCTTTTATCAGTTCAGAAGTAAATAGGCAGCACACCTACCATTCCAAGGCACAGTGCCTATTCTCATAAGTAGAAAGGGATTGCATATATTTAATAAATAAAATTCTTCCTGCAGCTTATTTCTGCTTTGAACAATGAGGTGGAATTAAATTATCACCCTTTGCAGGATTGCTTGAGAATTTTCTTGTTCCATTCTCTTGGACCAATTATGAATTCGGTAAAAAAAAACTACAAGAAGAAACAGATTTGGACCCTTCCCCATAAGTATAACATACCTATTTTATATTTTTACAGAATCATAAATAAATAGCCAAATATATAGCACTTTTCCTCAAGGCTGTAGTAAGACCTTTGTAGGCTCCAAGCAGATTATTTTCATAGTCTATCAGTGTGACAATTATTATTAGTACAATGAGAGGCTATAAAACTCAATCTGCCTAGAGAGTCAAAGAGCTTAGGGTTATAAAGGTATTCCCTGGGCATATATTTTTCAATAAATCATAGGGAATTTTATTTTGTCCAAGAGCACAGGACAGTATTTTCATTTCAAGTGCCCACTTATATTTATTTTCAAGTGTGATTGCAAAGTGGAAATTTACTTCACTGATTCCCTTACTTCCTAGTAGGGGTGTGTTTATGTGTGCGTGTGCGTGCACACACTGATACTGAACATGATTGGTTCTTGCATTTCAGAAGCAAAATAGCATCCAATTTATTTATTTATTTTTATTTTCAGTGTGAAAAATCGATTCCAAGTCCAAAATCAAATTCAGTTCTGGCAATATCTGATTATCATGATACAAATTCCGTCAGTACTGAACTAAGACACTTATTATTGTGATACATATATACATCATAAAGTAGTAATACTATCTTAAATATATTTAATTTTAGAATATGCTAATTTTGATTTTACTGTTACTTTTCATACTTTCAAAAACTATTGTTTAACTTAAAGCATTTCTGAAGCTCCCCATACTTTTGTAGGCCCTGGGTATTGTGCCTATTGGATAATAAAGTTGTGCTTTGCGCACCTTTTGATTTAACTTGGTATGGCTTGATTTCTTGAAACTGTTAAGATTTGTCTAACCTTCTTGAATTATAGATACAGGTAAGCAGGTAAAATAATTCCAAGAATGGCCAATGGTATTAATTAAAAAAAAAAAAAAAAAAGAGGAGGTACCAATATTGAGGATTTGTAGCAGCAAGGAACATCCAAGCTCCATTCCCCAAGTTGGATAGAAAATCTGCTACATAACCCCGGCACTGGACTGGCTTAAAAGTCTAGGTGTCCATGCTATAACCTCCATGGTGTGTCCTCCCTCCCCTTCTCTTTTTCTTTCAAATGGTACAGTTGTGAGGTCTGCCTTCTTACCACCAATCCGTATGGCTCACTAACATCCAAAGAGAGAGAGAGAAATGAGGGGAAGAAAATCACAACAGTCCGTTTTAGTTTTATAATGTAAGGTGTGAAATACAGTTTGTTATCTACTATGTCTGGTATAACTATGGTCTTAAAGAAAGCCTATTCACTGTGTTAACAAAAGAAGCAAAACCTATACGGAATACCTGCAAAGTTTTCCTACAAATAAGAGGAAAATGCACTAAATGTTAAAGCTTTGGCAAACTGCAGTGTTTGCTGCTGTTTAAAGATGCTCAGTGAATGTGTTTGTTGCCTTTGGCCTATCTCTTAAAAGCTAAGCAGGGTCAGACCTGGTTAAGCACTTGTATGAGAGACCACCTAGAAATATCACAGCTGTATGACAGACTAGGAAATCGAAAAAACATCAGAAAAGTCGTCAATGTCAAACCACTTTTGCATTGATACCAAGAAGTCCCCATGGACATATTTGGACATATCCATTACCAGACATTCAGTTTGACTCAAAGGAGACTTGACTTTACATTTTATTTGTCAAATCTTGGCACTCATTTACTTAAACTGGAAGTCTGGGCACTGGAAATGGAATACTCTGGTAAACACTATGAGATACCTAGAAGTTGAGGGATACTTACCAATTAAGTTTCATACTGCTGACCTTTTGTTCTGGAGTTTTACCCATGGAATAGTACCCAGCAGGGGTAGGGTGAAGTAGATATAAGATTATCATTTAGTTATGATGGCATGTTTTTTATCTGAGCTGGTCCCTTAGGCCAGGCTGGTTTTGCTCAGCAATGGACTGTGTTCAGCTTAAGCAACACCCTTCTGGATCTGAGATTTTTCTGGAATATTAATTTCAGGTGCTTTAGTGACTTTCATCCCATAAATAATAGTGTATCTTCACCACTGAAAATGGACATGAAATTATACCACTGTTATAATGCAGATCCTTGCTCTTGGTTAATACAGTTATGACCCTTACAAAAGGCTATGCCTTGTGTCATCATGCCAGTGATGTGACATAGAGTTTCCTGAATTAAAAAAAAAAATCTACTTACTTTCAAGTGGCACTCTGACTTTATGGGGACAACCCGAAAGACTGCGATGGTGAGGATACAATCCAGTCACATGCCCTGTTCCATCACATCCTGGAATGGGACACTTGGTCTCTCTTTTTTCAGGCCTGGGCACATCTGCAGAAAAACAGAATGGACGGTCTGGCTGGAACACTGTAAATTATATATATTAGGCTGAGCAGTTTTAAGTAATAGGATAGAAAGCCATTTTCTTTCAAGGTGTTAATAAATGCTGAAATGCTAGACAACATTTAACGTTCTATTTTAAATAATACTTGTTATTTTTGTACTAAGACATATGGCATTAAAATTTGCAATGACATTTGCATCATATGCCAAAAATTCGGAACTATCTATGAGTGGAAAAATCCAGACAGCACTAAACAACCAGCTATCAGGCTTTGGGAAAGTTGGATCACTGTGAAGGAATCGTACAACCATATAAAAATATACAACTTTAACAATGTCTTATATCTTTACGTTAGAAAACTGTTGTCAAGATGCTTTATTAAGGAATTTATAAAAGGAACTACATGTAATCCATATACCGGCCTGGCTAAAAGTATACTGCAGGATTTGTCGACAAGCTAAAGCAATAGTTATACAATATTTCATTTGTATGTGATGTGATGCTCGTATTTGTGCAGCAAAAATAATTATGCAAAATATGCTAATCTCCCCATTAAATACTGTAAAAAGTTCTGTCTGCCTCATATATTGCATTCATTTTTCCACAATAAATGGACCTTTCTTGCTTCTGAAAAAGGATAGTTAGTATAATGACCATATACACATTTGTATTTTGAAACTAAATAGTAGAATGTTAAATTTTAAAATTATTTGTTATTCCTGCTGTACAGATACATGATTTTTAACACATAAAATTATTTTTGTTATTTAGGATATACATCTCTCTCTCTTTCTCTCTCTGCAAAGGGGACACAGAAAACTGAAATAGCATTATCATCTGACTTTTTTTAATTCTATACAGGCAGATGAAAAACAAGACAGTCTGGATGTATGTGCCCCATCCTTAGAGAGATGTAACTTCTAAAGTCTTAAATGGAGTTCTATATATTTTTCTTCAAATAAGCAAACTCCACTAAATTCAATACAAGATACTTTCAAGAATCCTCTCTGCACCAAGTAATCTGCTTGCTTCCATGATATTCTCAAGTTACAATGGTAAAGCAAATAGTTTGCAGATACACACATTTATAATTAAAACTATCAGTAAGTATACAATTATGGCCTCTTATTTAAGCTTTTTCATAATGTGCCCTTCACATCATATTACTGAAGAAGCCCATGCCTCTTTTAAAAATTCCCATCTTGGTAGTTCTCCAGTCAAAATTAAATGGATCCAGTGAAGAGGCTCCATCTCAAAACTCTTGCTGAATGGTACCAGGTAACACATTCCCAGCATATTTGTTTGTTTGTTTTTTTACATACAATCATCATGGACCTTTAGCTTTAGGGATAGATTTATGTTGCTTGATGGAATGCTCTAATGATGCCATTTCAGGCACTGTATGACATTACTGACATTACTAAACCTAGATTGCCCAGGTTAAATGAATGTGGATCCTCTATCTCATGTTCTGAGTTAACAAGGCCTATGCTACTATCCCAAGAAAACTTGACAATAAACTTGGAAGGTATCACTTAGTAGAAATAAGCAGAAAGTAACAATACCAATTTTCTACAGTAGATAAAAGCCAGAAAGGCTGATAAGAGTTTGCAAAGAAACTGTCCTTTAATACAGCCTGCATATCTTGGAACCCACACATTGTATAGACTTCTTTAATACAATAGTTTCAGATATAATATAATGAATAGATACAATATATGATACAGTTCAATGTAAAATTACATTCATTTATTTGCTTGTTTTCTTTTTCTCCTAAAGATCTTCCATTAATCAAACAATTCAACATCAATAACACAAATAGTTCATCAAGACTTACGTACTGAAAATTATGGCAGTGAAGATTCTAAAATTCACAGTATAAGAACACTTTGAAATTCATCATATCTGTGGATGACTCAGCTCTTATTAGAAACTTATCATTTAACAAACCCAGTAAAAATATGCATTGATATGTGTTATACACAGACATGATTTAGTTACACATATCTATGTGGTATGATAATATTTCCTCTAAAAAAAGTTTTTAATTTTTTTAAATCTAATTTTGGATCAGAAATATACACTAACGGATGTGTTTCCTTTACTGTGTACTATACTTTTCTTGGCACTGGGGCAATCCAAAGAGTCTTGTATGCTCCCAATAGAACCAAATAATATTGTGGAAGTAAAGAAAATTATCTCATTCTGTTCTCTTCATTGCCTGAATCATAACACAATAATTAGATGTTTGGAAGAAGAGGATTATTGTACCATTGTAAACAAGTGATATGGATGTAGTCCACTGGTTGTTGATATGATGAGCTGAGATCTTTCATATATGGAAGCATATGTAAATAGTCTAAATGACCATTCAAGCAGTACTTTCCAACACACCCATGGGGGTGAGGTGGGGGCAGGGAGAGGAAGCAGATCTTTCCATCAGTCATGTTGATGAAGCCCTGGAGAAAATCCCCTCCCATTCACCTGCTTCATTTTTGCCATAGCCAGTGGGAGAGAAAATGCATGAAATTCCTTATCATAACTCTTATATCCTATTAAACATGGATGGAAAACCCAATGGAGTGCTTGAAAAGCCAACATACTAGCCAAAATATACTAACATACTAGTGCTGCCCAGAGTCACTTTTTGTGAGATGGGTGGTCATATAAATATGATAAATAAATAAAATGCAAAACACTGCTGCTCTGGAATCAGGGAATGGGGATCAGGATTAACAACTATTTAACTGAATGTGTAATCCACTGTGAACAAAGAAAGTGGACTTACGCTTGTGGTTATAGACTGGTCTACCACCAAGGTCAACTATTTTGGCTTGTCTTCTTTCACTTGCAAGGTGCTCCAGTAGGAACCTGTCCAGTTCTTTGTAAGTGCTATGAAAGACATGACCCTGCTCTGCCTGAAGAGCTATTGCTTGTTCCAGCAAATTGAAGTTCTGTTTTGTTTTGTCCAAGTCAAATGACTGTTCTGTATTTTCTGATAGACATTCATCTTCTTCACTATCTGGAAATGGATTCTGAATTCTATTGCTGCAAATGTCAACGTGTGAGTTCTGTGATTCTTGCAGCTCTGATCTCAAGCTACAAAAAGTTTCAGAATTGTCAACATCTCTGTCTTCAGCTTTGACTCCTGGTGTTTTTAGGACCTCTTGCTGATTACATCCTACAACATATGTTTTATTTAAGGGCAGTTTTATATTTATCTCTTCAGAAAAATTTGAGGAACTATCCCATTCATTGTCCAGAATTTCAGAGCTACTTTCATTATCTTCAGAGGAACAATACTGTGGGTGTGGAACACTAATTCTGTCCCTTCCAACTGAAGAATTAATCCCATAACATATAGCAATGTTCTTATCCTCTGTTTTTAGGGGTTGGTTATCACTATCACTTAGTTTATCATTCTCTAGGGAATTTGGTGCATCTTTTGCTATTTTTTCAAAGTTAGTTAAAGTGTTGGTCATTATGTCCTGGCAGTTAGTGAAACTGTCCTTCTTTTGATGATCATTTTCTTGCATATTGAAATACGAGATACTTTTTGCTGATGTTAACGTGGTGTCTTCTAGATAGAGAGAAAAAGAGAAGACAATGTTAAAATACTTCTATTTTGGCCACAATCCACAGATTTGTTAATTATAAATTAAGCTAACTATATCAGTGAGATCCTAGGGGAATTCTCCCTATGCGGTTGCTAAGAATTGACACGAACTTGATGGCACAAAATCAATCAATCAATCAATATCAGTGAGAATACTCCAGGGTCAAGTATTCTGGATTACACCTTTTTAAGGTTTCTTTTATGATTAGTATAAAGTCATATTGAGCAAAATAGTCCTTTAAAGAAATAAATGGAAAGTAGACTAAATTACCAAACCATGATGTGAATCCATGATAAAATTATGTGATTGGTCTAGAAATGTAAAACCATTATAATAATATGAAGTGTGACTTCAATTGTGACTATCATACAACTATGTTGAGATAGGTAGGTAGGTAGATAGATAGATGAAGACATATATCCATATCTCTTTTTAATTTAAAAATTATGAGAAAAGGATTTGCTTTGTATACAACACTATGTGAAAAGGTATTTTGTACATGGCTTACAGAGCTCATGGAAGGATGATCCATAGATATAAAATAAAACAAGGGCAACTTTACAAGTGAATTCAAAATGAAATCATTGAAGTATAGTGTGCTAAATTAGTTACTATCAAGGTGAATGTGGTTATGCTGAGCAGTGGGAAAAGTACTTCTCTTACTACAGGTGTATTTACTTTTTGCTTTGGAACAATACAACTTGGAAAAATGTCACACAAATGTAGTACAGGAACTTGCAGTTGAGACTTTTTTCATGTTGATGAAAACATATTTTTTCTTAACCTTCTTCAACAATGTTAATTCTTCCCCATTGATTACATTTCAAATTTATTATATTTTTAAAAGATGATGCGTTGGATTTCCTAAAGAATTTCAATATAAACATGTCCTGTATTGAGACACATTTTTCGTTTGAGATTACATGACACAACAATTGGTAGTAGCTACAAGAAAAAGAATCTCAAATGCCAAAAGACAATAAATCCTTTGTGTTTCATCTAATTTTTTTTCTAAACATTTTTTTTCCCCCTGACAAGGACACTCCAAAATACATCTCCATCATCTTCCTTTCTGGTAATTATCTCCCTAAAATCAACACTGGTCTGCCAGGATCAAGTAAATATTACCATAGTAACTAAAAGCATTTTTGGATGAAGGGAAGAATTTAGCCACAACACTAGCCCCTTCAATAATGCTGATTATAGGGTGTATTCTTTTGTTGGGATGTATTCAACATAAACTGGAACGTTTTGCATTTTACTTCCTAGAAGAGAAAAAAAATGAGATAAACAAGTGCATAATAAAAAATAAGACAGTCTGGTTCTTTGCAGAATCCATGTCAAACCAACTCTGAGTTTAAATATTAAATTAAATATCATCCAGAAATGCAAATCAAGTTTTGTCTCAGCAACAGTGAGCTATTAAGAGAAAGTATAAAGGGTTATCATAATTTCAAAGTATTATCAACTACCGAAAACAAATAAAAAGCATTTTCGGTGAATATGTCCAATTCATTGAACTATTCTCTCAAGCCACTTAACTACCCACATGTGTACAATAATGATTTATAGACATTATACCTAATTATGCATATTTGGGCTATGGTGGAGTGCCTAACAAAAGCTCTAGAAAGCAACAATTACCTCTGTTGCTTAGCTACATAGTTTAAAATATTCCTATTAAGTGCAGATTATTGTGGAAGGGGGGGGGAGGAGGATAGAAGTGCACATGTGCCTCTACAATGCATTTCACTTTATAGCTGCCAAACTGTTAGCATTTTGGGTCATTTCCAGTTTACATAATTGTTTGGTTCAACTGTTTGTTATACATTAAAAGAAAAATATTTATTAATTGTTTCTTACACATTTTCTTCCAGAAACTGGGCCCTAAACCAAAATATGGGGCCCTTTTTGAACTATTTGTTAGGCAGTTGTTGTTGCTACAGTTGTTGTTGTTGCTGTTATTGCCTGACTTGAAAACTACAGCGCAACTTTATTTGTAGATGTTCTATTCTCAGGAGATAGAAGGAGCTAAAAGCAACTGATCAAGAGTAGCAGGCAAGGTAACAAAAATCCAAATACTTACTAATGGATGTTCTAATCAAGTACAGACAAATGAAGTCTGAATAAGGTTCATATTTTCCCTATCTTTCTCCATTTAAAATAATCAAATTATAATAAATAAAGAAAAGTGATTATTGAAACTCTATGGAATGTTGTACATTTTTAGCACAAAAAATTCCCCCAACAGT